CTGGAAAAAATGTTTACACTTAGTGGCTGATTATGCTTTGAATAGAATTATTTTTAATAAAAAAATACTTGTTAGTAATAAAAAAAGAAAATGAATAAGTTTACTTTTTTTATTTCTCTTCAAATTGCATGTAGTATTTATCAATGTTAAGTATATTAAAAGTTAAATTAATGTTTTATAAAAATTAAAGATTTATCCTAATCTTTTATTTAAATTATCAATTATAACAATTAAATATAAAAGTATATTATAAATAGTTTATACATTCTTTATATTTTTTAAAACTAATGTATTAAATATATTTTAATTTTAATTTTTTTAGTTTTATAATTATATATAATCATTATCTTATGATTGTTCAGATAACAAGATTATTTTAAATAAGTATTACAAAAATCAAAAACAAAAAAAAGTTATTTTTTTTTATAAATTTGCCCCCCGTATGAATGATGGTTCCACCACTGATTTTACCCTTTTTTATAATTAAAAAACATAATAAATTATTGCCTATAAATTCAAAATCATAATAAATAATAGTAAAATAAAATTAATTATTTTAACATCACTTTATATTAAAGATTGGAGAGAATATATATATATATATATATATGGTCCTTCTTATCTTGTAATTCTACAATTTGCACCCGTGGTCAAATCTAATGCAAAGGGGGAGAATCTTTAGATAGAGAAAAAAGGTGGAAAGTTAAAGCAAGTAGAGTCTAATAAAATGGCTTCGAGACAAATACGAGTTTGTATTTTTTTTAAAAAAATATGGTTCTATGATTTTTTTAGGTCTTAAATAGTAATATTATAATTTGTTTTGTATGCATCCAAATTCCTCAATATCATTTTTCATCCCTTTGTTCAGGAATTACAAGTCAATATCAACATAATAAATCCTTACCTTTGAGATTTTTTTTTTAAATTGTAGTTTCTTTTGAACTAGTATGTATAAATTAATGTATTGTATATATAAGTACATAATTTTACTAGATATCCTAAAAAATTTTAACTAGAAAAAAAAACCTCCATATTTTGAATGCAAGTTAGGAATATTTTTGAAAACAATTACTCTTGTATCAACAACAACAGAAAAAGCTTTCTTTGAAATTGATTTTCTTTATATTAAAAGATATATTTTCAATTTTACTGACAATAAATTAAATGTGCAATAATTTTAAAAGATAAAATCATTAAGAGAATAATTGTAAGACATATAATTAATTTTTAAAATTATTTTTATAATTATTCATATTTTAAATTAAATTATATTTTTTAATTAAGGATCCTAACTCTATCATTACTCATAAAAGGATATATGTGCATGGAGAGAGAGAGAGAGAGACATAAGGAGAATATTACATGTTTTTTGATATTTGGTTATATTATATGTGGTGTTGAATAATATTTCGCTTTGACTTGTATTCATTGCTGACAGAATCATGGATATTTAATTCCTCCATCTCTTTATGCATGAACCTAATTAATATTCCTCTAATTAATTAAAATTCCTTGTCCTCTAAAAGTAAAATTTCTTCTAATATGATTTATCACCACTCACTCTTTTAATTTTCTCCTAACGTGTGTTTGTGCAACGGCGCGCGCATAATTTAAATTAATTAATGCACACACATGGTTATTAGAATTTTGATTTTTTTTTGACCAAATTATTAGGATATTGATTGAAGATCAAATGAAAAGAGAGATCGAATAATTTGAATTTGTGAAAGGAATTAAAAAAGGGACGATGGAGAATAGAGGCAGAGGAGGAAAAGGAAAAGCTAAGAGCGACGCGGTAGAGACAAGTTAGATGAAAACAAAAATTGTAAAGCAGTATGTATGCAGGCCTCAAGCTTTTTAAAAGCTAAATATATATATCATCATAAAAGAATAAAAGTCATTTCCCATCAGATTATTTTACCAGAAAAGAAAATTCAATATTTTTATGGTGGAAGAACAATTAATATGAATTAAACTAAAGAGATCACATCATTTTTTTACCTCATTCTCTTTGAACCTTTAAGTCTTTCGCTAATTATATTTAGAGTTTCATTACATTAAGGAGAAAGTATACTTTTAATTCTTAAATTTTATATAAAATTTTAATTTAGTCAATTAATTTTATAATTCATTTTTTTCAGTTTTTTAATCTAACACTAGTTTGAGATGATTATATTTTGTGCCAATAATTTTTATTTTAAAAAAGGAAAACTTAATATATCACTATTTAATAATATTCTGTTAATATTTAAAAGTTTAATAATGTAAAACTTTTTTGTGATAAAACTGATAATGTTAAAGTTAAAATACAGAAAAGATATTTTATAAAATTAAAGGATTAAAATAAAATTTAATATAAAATTATAGGATTAAAAATATTTTTTGACCTTACATTAATTATAAGGCTAACGAGTATTTTGAACTCTAAATTATTATGTGAATAACACCTTAAACCTTAAACTTTTGAAATGTGAAAAAAACTCCTTTCACATTCTAAATTTAAAGTGCTAAAAATCTCGTAATTAACTTGGAGAAAACAACTATTTTCTTTAAAGGTCAATATAAAAACCTATCAATATATGATTGAGCCCCACAACTATAAAAGTAATGATTATTTTTTCTAGTTTAATGATAAAGTTTCAAGTATTCAAAATTTATAAAGTAAGAAAAGATTTTTCACATTTCAAAAATTTAAAATTCAAAATATTATTTGTCCAATACTTTAATTAACTCTTAATTATACAAAATATACAAAACTATCTCTCTCTCACACATACATAAAACTTAAAAGTAATGTAAGGTCATATACACACAGAGAGAGCAAGCCAACACACACACACATGTTGGCTTGCCTGTTTCCTTAAACAAGAAGAATGGAAGCATACCCACGGTCACAAAGAATATAGAAATTAAAGCATCATGGAAACAACAAAAATGTTAAGTATATTATGAAATGCTCTTTTTATTAAAAAGATATAAAATATTTTTAATAGAATCTCAACTTTCAATAAAATAATTATCTATTTTTAAATTAATTTTATTTTTTATATTTATTTTTATTAAATATTGTATAATAAATATAAAATTATTATTAATAAAGGTATTTTTAAAAAAATAATTATATTTTAAAAATTAAAAATATTTTTATATTTTTATACAAAGAAAGTAGGATAAAAGAATTATTTTGGATATGTAACGTTAATAATAAATGCATTATTATTATTATTATTATTATTATTATTATTGCTATTATTGTTCCTGATGGATGGGTCTGACCTGACAGAATGGTCCTTTGTCTATCTGCCTGATGTGCAGGGCAAGCAAATTAAAGGACAGCACGTCAAAGCACAGTCGTTTTGTTCTTTTAGTAGTCACAATAAATCCAAATGTAAACGATGTATATGCAGCGTTCAGGAGAAATAAGAGAAAATGTCATTGATATAGTGTGTGTGTGTGTATATATATATAATACTCATGTCATATCATTAGTTACGATACTCGACATTTTATTTTATTTTTCCTATGCCTGTTAACGTGCTCTATGGTCAAGCTTTGAAATTGAACATTGAGGATTTGTTTAAAAAATTAAAAGGGAAACATAACTTTATGTTTTGCACTTTGCCTAAATTTTATTATAAATTTCTATACGTTTTTGGACATTGTAGGTCGTCACATTTTTATTTTTAAATATTTTAAATCCTTATAATAATATTCATGAAAAAATTTAAAATATTAAAAAATAATAACATAGGAATTTAAAAATATTAAAAAAATGTAAGGATTTTTAATAAAGCTTAAATAAAGTGTAAAAATTTATATTTATATTTTTTTAAAAATAAATAAATTTAAAGATTGACTTGATTGTCAGGTTTTAAATAATAATTTTGATATTAAAAGTTTTTACGATCACCTCCACAAACGCAAAAATTTTACTTGCATAATTCATTTACAACTTTAATATCTTAATATCAATAAAAATTAATTCAATTAATAAGAATTTGATTGATGATTCACAAAATTATGACCTACAATTTGTGAGATCAAATCCTACTTCAATATGATTAATTTGTTTAGTGGACAACTTGTAAGTGTTTTTTGAACTTATCAGCACACCCTAATGACTTTGGTACCATTGCGTCGGCATCCAATTCATTTACCCAAAAAGAAAAACTTTAAATCTTATTTGAATAGAATAATTCGTATGAAGTCCAAATCCCAGGTAGGTGATTTTCTTTTCTTTCTTTTTATTTTGTATAAAGTCCAAACCACACTCAATCCAACTTAAAAATTAAACTAGAATGGAGTATTAATTTACTTCAAGGTTGTGCATATTTTTAAAATAAATAAATTATGTAGTTTTAATAACATTCAAAGCAAAATTTATATTATAATTACCATCTTAGCTAAATATTCAGCCCGTTTGTTTAAGATGAAAAATAAGTAATTTTTATATAAATTAGAATTTTATAAAAATAAATTTATTTGGTTGAGATTTGATAAAAAGTAAACATTACTTTATGTTTGGTTATAATAATAAAAAATAAGTATTAATTAGTTATTTTTAATTTTTTAATTTTTATTTTATAAAAATAATTTATTATTTTAAAATTTTATGATATTTGCTTTTTTTTTTTAAACATTCTCTTCATATATAGAATCAGATTGTTTTTAGAAGTTGCTCAAAATAATTTTTTAAAATAATTAAAAATTAGTTTTTTATATTCTAATTATTTTTAAAAATTTAAACAAACAAGGCAAAATTTAAAGGATAAATATTTTTTAAAAAATAAGTAACCTTTTTATAAAATAAACTAAAATAAACAGGTCCATTATTTTCATCTTTTCACAGTGTGTGCGTGTATAGATGTTAATAAACGCGTATCTTCCCCCACAAGGCTAAAACTCGCAGTGAATTTCTCGTTTCATTTATCTTTTTTTCCCCACACCATCTCTCCTCTATAAGCTCTTGTTTTAGTGCCTCTCTTGCAAAACTCACCTCCAAAATCTCTCTCTCTCTCTCTCCCCCCCCCCTTTTTCTCTCTCAACTCCATTGTTACCTTAATTTTCTCTCTTTATCTTGTAAGTCAGTACCTGTGTAGCCATGTTAATTTTCTGCAACTGAATGAAGCTGCTTTAAGCTAAGCAAGACATATCAGTCTCTGTCCTCCAACAAAACTTCATATAGAGGGTATGGTATATTGTTTTTTTCATCATATTTGTCTCTAATTGAAATTTAATTACAAGACATGCATAGAAAAGAAAATGCCCAGAGAGGGAGCTAGGGAATTCTAGTGTCTGAAACAGTGATTTTTCTGCTCATGTCTAATCTCCTATTTTAATTTCTCTAGTTCCGGGTTTTTCTAAGTTCACTTTCAGCTAGCTAGCTTATGAGATAAGTCTAGTTCAGTTGTCATCACTGCAAGCAAGAAATTATAGCCCTAGGATTTGTTGTGTTCATCATCATCATCATTAATTTCCCCAATATGTGTAACATGCTTTTTTTTTTTTTTGTCCTAGCTTATCTCAATAACTATTCAAAACCATACTGTTTTCAGTTTCAGTGTTTTGGTGCTAAGGAGATGACAGATTGAGAAGACAAGTCCTAGAATTCCCCGGGCTAGAAAATTGACGACACCCCAGAGAAAAATAACAAACCCAGAAAGAAAGAAGGGGGGGGGGAATAAAAGCTAGGAATGGGACTTTCTAGTCAAGAAGAAGTGCCAATCCCAATAAACAGTACTACATACGGCGGGGAACATGGTAATGGCCATGGGCAGGAGGGGCATGGGAATATGGCCCATCATCATCATCATCTTCTCCAACACCTTCAAGACCCTTCTAATGGCTCCTCCATTACGCATCAAGATCAGGACCACGGACCCTACATGAAGAAGAAAGAGGCAAGGTACAGAGAGTGCCTTAAGAATCATGCAGCTTCCATGGGAGGTAATGCCCTTGATGGGTGTGGTGAGTTCATGCCTAGTGGAGAAGAAGGCACCATAGAGGCCTTAACCTGCTCAGCCTGCCAGTGTCACAGAAATTTCCACAGAAAAGAAGTAGAAGATGAGCCTTCTTCTTGTTACAAATTTGGAAGGAAATTCATCTTGGGACATCACAAGAATGTCCTAGCAGCCTCCGAAGCTCTTGCAGGGTACCCTACAGGTAACATCTTGCCTTCAAGATCTGTACCACCACACCAGATGATACTTCCCTACAACGTGGGTCCACTTCTTTCAGAATCAGATGAGCAAGAGGGCGTTGGCGGCGGCGGAATGGTGAGCCGGCCAGCATCATCACAGAGAGTGAAGAAGAGGTTCAGGACAAAGTTCACCCAGGAGCAGAAGGAGAAGATGCTGGATTTTGCAGAGAAAGTTGGGTGGAAGATTCAGAAGCAGGAAGAATCTGCTGTGCAACAGTTCTGTCAAGAGATTGGAGTCAGAAGAAGAGTGCTCAAGGTTTGGATGCACAACAACAAACACAATCTAGCCAAAAGGAATAATAATCCTCCTCCTCCACCACCACCACCAACAACCACCACAACTGTCTAATTAGTTAAAGCTTTAAAAGTTAAAAGTATGTCTGATGATGATATTATCACCTCATTATTTAGCCTAGAGTTATATTAATGAATTAGTATGGGCCTACAGAGTCTTAAGAAATGAGTTACTATGTCCAAGACTTATTTATGACTTTTAAAGTTTTTATGCTATATATTAATTTTATTATCCTAGTTTTAGTAGCTAAAAGCGTTAGGCTTTCTTGTTCTGTATCTTCCTAATCATTTCTTGACCTTTAGGGTCTGTTTAAGGATAAAGTTTTATTTACACGTAATGCATGAATGACTTTATGTATCAACTAGTTTTACGATGATGCTTTTGAATGCATCAAAATCTGTGTTTTAAATGTGCTAATCTGTTTACTTATTTTCTCTTTAAGCAAAATCAATCATACTGTTCCGTAGTTTAGTTCGGGAAAGTTGCAGCGTATGGAATTTACGTTTTTCTCTTTGGGCATTTTATCGAACACCTAAAATGCAGCGCAGGATCTGAAACAGTTTGAGGATAATAGGATCAACGGGCATTGACACACAAGCTAGTTCTGTGGCTACAGAGATCTCTGCTATGATAGGAAAATGCATTGACTCGATTTCTAACAGCAAACAAATATAGATTGTTTCTCCAGGTGAAAAAGTGAATGGTGAGCATGAACCAATTCAATAAATTTACAGTAAAGGGGGAAAAAAGGTTAAAAGAAACAAAGAGGATAAGATAATGCCAAATTCAGAAAATGATAAACAGGTTGTGGGTTGGACTTTGTCCTTACCTCCCAAAACTTTGGATTCTATAAGTGGGATAAGAACTTTTGTCTTGTTTAATTGAAATTTGATTCCTTCTCCATGTGTAGAACTCGGTGAAATGCTTATATGAAAGAGAATAGGAATGTTAAGGAGGCAAATTACTGTGCTGATTGGCAAGTAAAGCATACTCTCTTTGTTTAAAAATATAAGACATTTTTAATCGAATCTCATCGTCTAATAAAATGATTACTACTTTTCAACTAATCCTATTTTTTTATATTTACTCTTATTAAACACCCTATAATAAATATAAAATCATCATCAATAGGAGCACTTTTAGAAAAAAAAGACAATAATTACACTTTGAAAAAATAAAAATGCTTTACATTTTTTAATATCTAACTCCTTAAAAAATGTCTTATATTTTTGAATGAAAAGAATAACAATTATAATACTAAAATCTTTAATGACCAAAGGGTGTGGGAATATTTTGTTATCTGATTGGACTTAATCTTTTATTATTGAAGTCTTTAAATAAAAAATAATTATATAACAAATTATTAATAAATAATAATAAATATTAAACGTCTTATTTTTATTATAATAAAAATGTTACAGATAAATTCAACTTTAAGGATGGATATGAATACATTAGTCAAATGTTGGTGTACATTCATGCATATTGTGAAAATAATTATTAAAAATAGAAATAAACATTTTTTTTGCCAACATATTAAAGTGGCAATAAAATTTATTTTTTGACCAACAGAAAAGCAATAAATTAACTTTGAATATCCAAAAATTTAAATGGAATATTCAATCAGCTAATGTCTTGGGATATGTAAATGCATGGTCGCAGTTAGTAGAATGTTCCCTGTCTGTAACAGCTTCCAGGGAAGGCAACAAAACTGAAGAAGCAACTTAAATAAATTTTTGAAAAGGTACATTCTAGAAAGAAAATTAAATATGCCCTTAATTAAACAAGTTTTCATGTACAAATTACTTGTTATGGAACATGTTGGTGAAGACAAGTTAAATAATAATAATAATAATAATAATAATAATAATAATAATAATGGCCTCCCTTAAATTATAGTGGACTTTTTCTTTTCTATTTGAAATTACATACAATCATATTTAAAATAAAAAATTGTACAGGTTTTTTTAATTTTATTAGAATCATGTAGGCATCCTTTTATGTTCAAAATATGCACAATTTTTTTGTAAAAATAAACGATAAATTAAGCAAAATATTTATAATTTTTACCTTCTGTTATCAGATTCTTATGGCTTTTACTGAAATTGCACCCTTAATTTCTTTAATCTATATGACTACTAGGCCGTTTAGATACGCTATTCTGATCTTATACGTGCTTTTAGGAAAATTTTGGGACAACACTTTTAGAAGCAATAAATTTGAAGAGCTTTTAGTAAAAGAGCTTTTTAAATAGAAAAACAGACCCAAACTATATATATATATATATATATTGATATTGATGTTGTTAATGGAAGGAATCTTTGTTTAGAGAAGAAATCAACAGTTCAAGTATGCATCTATAAATATTAAATATTGATGAAAATAACTACTCATAATGGGACCCCATTTTCTGAGATTTTTTAATTGAACAATCCACAAAAAATCCCCAATTTCCCCAAATGAACATATAATAAATACAGTCAACGGTGGTTTGAGCTACCTCCAATAATATAACAGAGGGGTCCTCAACTTTTACACAATATTTATCATATTTATTTCCCTTACTATTCATAAAAAGAAAAGTTCTTCCCCTCTGAAAATTTACTAAAAAAGAAATTACCACAAGTTAAAAAAGAAAGGGGAAAAATAAACACTTGAAAATATTATTTTGCATTATTTTTTATTCTCAATTTTACTCTATCCATCTTATAAGACTCTTTTAGACAAAATTAAACATACCAATAAAACTAATTAAATACATTTTATAATCTTATTTTTTAAAGCATAAATATAAATTTTTAAAAATATCTTAATTTAATATAACTTTAATTGTGAAACATTAAATATGCATTGTAAGAAAGTATAATAAGGAGAGAAGGGTAATATCGAAACAACTGCAATAAATAAAACCTTCTTTTGTCTAAGCGTTTTATATTTTGATATGCCAAATGACCTTTGAATGTGTTTTATTTTGAAATGAATGGAGTAATTAATTAAAGGGAGCAAGAAAAAAAATTTGAATTATAAAGTACTCCATTCATTCCTAATTATAAAGCAAAAAGAAGATTTTTTTTATCTTATTTATAAGTTATGTCATTAAATTTTTATAATAAATTTATTATTTTACTCTCTATTAAATACTGAAGAAAGAAATTATATATGATTAATAGGGATAAAGTTAAAAATTTATTAAATTTTTATATAAAATTAATAAATTTTAAAATTTTTCTTAATTTTATTAAAATATATTAAAAGTAATTTGTAAATATAAATTTACTTAAAATATAAATCAAATTGAATTCATTCACGTCAAGGAAGAGGAAACAATTGAGGCGGAGATCCAAGTGGAGGGGTGACAATAAATGGGGAAGCTGCAAGTTTGAGAGACACAATAAATATGATTGGGAGGAAATATTTAATAAGGAGCCATTGCTGACACTGAATTTCTTACCCACTGCATCCTCATTTAATGCTCTTTTCTTCCCACAACCTAAACATCATCTTTCTAATAATGATAATAATCTTATAGTTCACCAACTATATTTAATTCACCATAGTGAGTAGATTTTGCATCTCCTACATTGCATGAGGATATTAATAAATTTTTTAAGCAAATTTTAATAAAACCAAAAAAATTAAAAATTTTAAATTACTCATTATGCCTTATTCCCTATGCTTCTTAATATTATAAAACAAATTTAGCCAATTTTACTTTTATTAAAAAATGGTATGTATACTTGTTAAAAGATACTCTCTTCATTTTAAATTATAGAACACTTTTAAAAGAATTTTTTTTATCTCAAAATATAAAATATTTTGAGTAAATTAAGATTTTATTAAATACATCATTTTTAATATTACCTTTTTTCTTTCTATAATTAATTTTTATCTCTTCTCTTTTTAATATATTAAATTATGAATATTTTTTAAAATTTATATTTTTATTTTGAAAAGATCAAGTTGTTAAATATATTTAATGATATTTATTAATATATAAAATTTATTTAAAAGTATTATATAATTTGAGACGGAGGGAGTATGTAACATTTCAAATTTGCCCTTCTTTGTCATTAATAATCATATTAAATTGTTTCATAAAAAAAATGATCATATTAAATTGTCATCTAAAAATTCAAGCTATAATAAATAAACAAGAGATTTTTTTTCTTCAAAAAAACAGTTTCTCTTATAAGGGGGAAAAAAAAACTTTCAAAGCTTCTCTCATATTAAGAAATAGGAGTATAATGCATGTTGAATGGATTGATAATTGATAATATTGATAATTCATAATATACTCACTATCTCATATTCAATCAATTTAGCTTTATTCTTTTTATGAGAATATTCATAAACATTTAAAATGCCAACAAACCTGTACTAACCGCTTTAACATAATATAAATTCGACTTATATTAAAAAAAAAAAAACCTGTAAAATGCCAACAAAACTAAACGACTTTAAAAACATGATCTGTGAGTCCTTCCCACCTCCAAAAAGATCAAAAAGAAATGTGCGTTTTATAAGCTCAACAAAGCCACAGGAATGCAAAATGGTGGACGTTGCATTGATCCTCAAGGTTCCAACATGTATATCAAGTTTATCGTCTCAGAAAAAATCCTACTGCAAAAAAAAAAGGGGGTGTGGGGAACCAGAAAAGAATAGAACAGAAGTGAGGAAAAGACATAAAATTGAATCAGATGAAAATATAAAGTGGTAATGCTCTACCCAGAGTTATGGTAACAACCCATTCCTTCATAATCCTGCAATAGGCCACCCTCGCAGAGGTCCAGCGGAAAAATTCACTCATGTGTGGATTTCCCATGGTGGCTTCTCTTGAGCTTCACAAGATACAACGCTTTTAGGCCATAGGATAATATTTTGAATTGGGAAGGGTAAGGGAAGGGAAAGGAAAATTTGATGTAAATCTACACCAAATCTTTCCTTCACTTAATTATGCTCCATTCCTTTCAATCCAAGCTTACTCTTCAGTATGATGATTCAGTCCACATCCAGAGCAGGCAGACCTTTTGCACTAAAAGCCCAATATCATCCAGGTGAGAATGCGTATATCATCCCTGTCATCAAGTTCAAACGAGCCTGGCTCTACCAGGATTAAGAAGTGAATCTGACATAGTCCATCCCTGCAAGATAATGGATTACATGTAACTCTCAGCAATAATGATCCAACCTTCAACAATAGGATACTAAAGCTAGTAACTTGGGCTAGCCAAACCCGTCCGAAAAAGTTAGGACTGGCCTTGATTATATGGGCTTTTTTAAAAGATAGGATGTTTTAAATCCAACCGCCCAAATTATTGACTCTACAAAATACAGTGTAAAGAACTTTGTGCCAACCACGGAAATATGCCCTCATTTTTTTTTTTTTTTTGGGTGTGTTACACAACAGATTCACTTAGCTTGGCCTTGACTACTATGACCAACTGAACAATCTAATTGGAAGGTTGAAAATGCATCCAAATCCTCTAAAATTTTAGAAGTCCCACCTAAAAATGTTTCTCAAACAAAATTCACAAGGAATTCAAAATAGAGACGCGCACGCACACACATTTATATTTAAACAAACATAATTTGAATATTAGTTAATTTTTAATCAATTGGTTCCATTTGAATTGGACGTCTGTCTAACACAGATATCCAGTGTCTGAATGCCAAAATCTCATCCAATTGATCAATCAATTTTAGTGAGTTATGGTCAGATCAGATTCATTTGAATGGTACGAATTAGGATTTGCTCCACCCAACTGTGTGCCTTTTTTTTTTTGGGTTGGGGTGTGGGGAGATGGTGGTAGTAGCCCCAACTAACAACTGTGCCCATTATTTGCACTACAAATTGGTAACAACTGCAATGTGTGCACTCATAAACTAGTGACTCGATGGGATTTTTATTATATCTAACCACATCATAATCAAAGCAATAAACCTATCAATTGAACTGAAGATAAGCATAAGGCAGATTATATACCCTACCTTCCTCCTCCAAAATAATTAGTGTATGTTGGTATGCAGAAGTGTTTACTAGAAATGAAATGAAGAATGTATCTAGAAAGAAAAATGGGAAGTGCATTTATGATTTCCTTTCTAAAAAACACTTTTCTACCTACCAAACATTGCATCAATGAAAAAACAATTCCTGCCACGGCATCAAAGTAAATAAATGCTCAAGGTATAATCAAGTTCCACAAGTGCATCATGCAACAAGCCAACCCACAAGCACGAGAATTTCTGTTGTTGCCACTCCCTTCACCCTCCCTGACTCCTCTCAAATGCTAAATAAAAGCAAAAATATTAATACATTTCAAAGCTAACATTTTGACAGAGCCTGATGCAGAACCGTGAAATGGATTAAGAGGGTGAATTCACTAACCTGCTCCTTCGCTGTCCTTTTGAAAGGCCCATATGAATTTGCTACCATCTTGCATGAATCAGCAACATAAGCTTCAAGGTCAGCCACTGAGTGCACCATATTTGGCTTAAGATCGTCTACTTGTTTAACAGAAGAAACCTTATTTCCATTTAATGAATTCATGAAATGAAAAAGCAGATGAGCCTGCAAAAAAATAAGGTGATTTACTTTATAAGTACTATGCAGAAAAATGTTATCCTGACAAATTCCCAAGACAGTTGTATATCTCACATGAAATGCCGCTTTTAGAATGTCATCTGACTTTGCCTCATCCTTGAGTAGTGCATACACCTTACACTTTGAGGGGTTATATGTCACAATATATTTCTCTTTCTGTGACCAACCAAAAACCAAACGAGAATGCACCAGAATTACAAGTCAATCAGTAGCCAAAAAAAGAAATACAAGTCAATCAAGTAATAAATGTAAGAGAGCTCAAAACTTGTAACAATTCAAAGAGCAAACACCTCAAATAGAGGCTGGATGGCAACATATGCCCCAGGGTCTTGGAATGCATCTTTGAACCTTGATCCTGAATTAAAAAAAAAAAAATTAGAGAACAATCCGTTGTTAATTTTTTGGGCAAGTCTGAATCAAGCAAAGAGATTTCAGTCCGTTCATATACCAAGGACAACAGGCCTATCTTTCCAAGGAAACTTGAATATGCTCTCATTCATATTACCCTCCTGTACGGTGGGTACTCGCCCTGAAACAAATTAACTTAATCAAAATACAAATAATAACATGTCAAGGTAAACCTGAGGTCATAACTATTAGACTGTACATCTTTATTAATATAATGATACCTGTCTTGAGGAAGGACTCCGCTGCCACACTAAATCTTGCCCGGTTCAGTGTATGCAAAACAACAGATTTTACCTATAAATGTGTACAAGTGTTTGAGTCAGACCACAGGATAAGAAAACATGAAAAGAAAAGAAAGCATAACTTTTACATGTATTAAAACAAACCTCTCTGTAAGAGCTAAGGATATATCCACATGAAAGGAGGGCAAATGTAGTCACCAGTGATGGATTTTTTTTGGATATTAAAATGCTCAGACCAGTTCCTAACTGTAAGTGGAAAAAAGAAAGGACCATTTGATTTCATCAACTGAAGCAGAAAATTCAAAGCATAAGGCATCATTCGCCAGTAAGATTCTACAAGTATAAAGTAAAATATCAACCAAGAAAACAATTTCAGCAAACTAAAGCTTGATACCCTGCCATCTTTTAAGTTAATTAGTGTTAAAAAAAAAAACGATCAACCAAACTTCAAATCTATATCCGCATTCCTTATATATTATTCTGCCAGAAAAGTATTAACCTAACTCATAAGTCTGATCTCAATGCATAATATTTCTAACATGTATGCACACAATTAGGGAAGCAAGTATCCCACAATTTGCCCAGCTAATTCACTCGTTGTATGGAAAGAAGATTCCAAAAGTTAGAAAACATTCTAAATGAAAGCAAAACTTATTGCCAATTAGCAATACCCTAATATATGACTGGGAAAAAATGACAAGACGCTTCAATTATTTGCTGCATCCAAGATTGCAAATAGATTTCAGAGACAACCAATTAATCTGATAAAACAAACTTGCTTTACAACAATGTTTTAATCTTACTTTTGACAGGGCACAGTTCAAAGTCAGTACATATACAGACTGAAAGAGGAAAAACATTTGAAAATGATCAGCAAGACTAACCGATCTTACCAAGGATTGCAAATCCTGAGTTTGTTCATGAAGAGCAGATCTAATTATATTAATGTCTATGCTCTATGATTGATTTCATTTGTCCATTACTAATCGATTTACTAGTCAATCATCAAGTAGTAATCTTAGGCATGCACGGAACCACAAATTTACTGCAAAATGTGCTATGCTTCTAAAATTATACCACAAAAGTGTTGTCACAATAGCAATTGGTAGAAAATTTCTTAAGCGTACCAGATCTGCAATATTGCCAACACATTCTCCTTTAGCAGTGACATCGCCAATGTTTTCCCCTTTAGCAAAGGCTTTGTAAATGGGCGTCCTGGTTGATGTCGATGTCACAGCAGCAACATTCTAATAGCAAAAAGTAACGGGTAAAAAATTTCCAAAAAAAAAAATAAGGTAAAAGCCTGCAGAACTGATACAACAATAAATCACTAGTGAAAAGAAAGCCATAAAACCTTAGCTACATTAGCAGCACAAGCCAAGGGAAGAAATAAATGTGGCACTGCTGCAGTTACCAACTCCACTCCAGCACCCAACTCCATCAAAAGATCACCTGCAAATCGCATCTGTAATACTAATTTTCAGAAAAATTAAAGGATAGCTCAAATTTATATAATCAAATTGACAAGAAGCAAGCAATTTATTACTTGTTTTAGATCATAATCAAATTTCTTTCCTTGCCGAGCATAAAGCATCTTTCCAACACGACCCGCACCATCCTACAATTGTGATTGCACAAGTAAATTCACTTGAATAATAACAGTTGCATGACAACAGAGTTTATCTAAAACATACCGGATGGGCAGAGTCTAATTTGCAAGCAATAAAGAACACTCAGAAATTCATATTCAAGGATAGAAGAGCAAAAAGACACATGGTACACCTAGAAGAATATTAAGAGATTTTCATGATGATTAAACAGCTAGAAAAACAACCATTATCTCTATTTTAGTCTAGTTATAGCTTGAAATTGTTGTATGAAGAGTTAAGACTCTATAGCAAACTCCAACTGATGACCGAATTTTGAGCTGTTCTCCAGGACTACATATTACATGTAGTTATCAAAAGCAAGACTGTCTGGAAACGTAAAATGAAGTTTTGAGTTGAAAAGAAATTAAAAAAAAGGGGAACCTCAGCACAATAATAAACTTCTTGGATTGAAAAAGGATTAAATTAGAATGGACAAAAACAGACTTATTCTCAAAAGGAACTGACTTTCCATTTTTCTAATTTAACTCCTTGGATGATATATATCACTTCGTTGGACATTGAACGGACAGAGTCAAAAACCATACATCCCAAGAAACAGACACCCAGATGAGCCAAAAAACAAAGGTTACATGCCACGAACATGATTGGACCTTGTTTCATATAAAAATTAGCTCAAGAAAGCTTGCAATTGAAATATGGAATTTCTAAATTGTAGTATACTACATAAATCTCACCTTGAGAATCCAGTTTATAGCAACAGCTCCAGGAGTAGCTTTGTTTCTGGAGACTCCAACTGAGCTTAGAAGTGTTTGAGTTGTGAAAACACCCATCGCTCCACCGAAGAAATGCTACAAATAAGAAAAGAAATTCTCGATCGTAAACTTATACTGCATAAACTTAAAAATAACAACATGGAAGCACATTGTACTGTCTCAAAATGTTCAACACTTGAACAACTACAATGCCTATTTTAATTATAGCGAACAAAGTATAAGTAAAGCAAATACCTTTAGAGCTCGCCATGTCATGTATGGGACATATGAAGGGCTAACACTATCAGGGAAACCTTCTGGAACAACATAGGATCTTATGAATGACATTACCTCCTGCATACATACAACAGCTTAGAAACATCAACTTAGCTTCTTTGCTTTCTATTTGATGTCAACACATAATATTTGAATATGAAACTCTGGGGCCAGAGATCTTGCCTCTTTCTTTCATTGGAGTCAAGAACTAAAGTGATATGAAAAAATAACCATCCACTTTATCACTATTGTGAAATATTTGTTTAACTAACAAATACTAACGACGAAGCAAATGATAGTTGTTCATTCCTCCTGTGGCTATTATACATAAATGATAGCAAACGCTACATTTGCAAAGGGTCCCAGTTTCATTCCATGAGAATCCTTAGAAGAGAGAGGGTTTTAAAGATATACGCTGCAATCGTACATTAATGCATTAATGAAACAAAATAGTAGCCCCTTTTGAACTGTTAAAAAGCCAATTAGACCTATTCAATTGTAGTAATGTATAAATTAAAAAGGATGAAACAGTTAAAAACTTCATAATCCAGTGATCAGGTACCGATCATGGCTATAAAATAACCTAGCTAAATCCAAATATAAATATGATATTAAAAAAAAAAAAACTCTGTTCTTCGAAATGATTTGTACAGCTTACTAATCTTATAATTGTCCCAAAGTATTAACTTTAAGGAAATTCCAGTCTCCTCTGGATCTCTAAATTTTGAAGTATCAAACACATACAAAATCAAATGCAAATACAAAAAAGGAAACTGTCAAGTCCAAACTTAAGAAACAAGATTCAAAACGCAATATAATATCCGCAAAAGCAGTCAATCAAGCACTTCAGTCCCATCCATCGACAGATCGAATATCAGTTTCGAATTTTATGTTATTAATCAATATTTTTGAAGTAAATATTGATTAATAACATAAAATTTAGAATTGGGCAACTGTCTTGTAAGAATTGGAGAATCTATCTATTGCAAAGAAAAACTTTATCTCAAAGATGTAAAATTTAGAGCCCCTGAACCTACTTCCGGTATTGCGACCGGCAAGTAAGGAAGAAGAGAACTTCAAAAATTTACCGCAAAAGTCAAACAAAAGAAAAGAAATATATATATATATATATATAGGCAGCCAGACAGTATGATGTAAAATTCACAAAAAGTATTAAGGCGCATAAAACTCACATCAAGAGGAGCTTGAGGAGTCTGCAAACTGAGCGCGCGGAATGAATTTTTCACGAAACCTCCACAGCCATCATTCTCCGCCACGTAGTTCCATCTACGACCATCAACTTCCTCGGAACAAATCAATTTAAAGCTCGGGTTCATGACCTCCTCAGCACCAACAAGGCCACCACCTGCCCCTATTCTCCTCCGACACTCCGATCCAACCAACACAGCCGCCGATGACGCTGGGTATGAAGAAGAAAGATCGGACATCGTTTCAGCAAGATGAGTAATTGCAACAGCCGGTGATGATGAAGCCAAATCGGCACTGATACGAAGCGTTTCACGCACCAGAGCGCGCGCATCCTGGGACGACGCAATCGTTTGAGCAGTGGAGGAGGGGTTCGAGGCTTGCTTCAGACTGATGGGAGCCATGTGGAGACAAATCGAACCCCTGCAAGAAAAATAATAAAAGAGGGAACGAAACCCCAAAAAAGGGGATCAATCCCGATTAAATTTAGGGACTGGGGGATGCGAAATTGAATTTATAGAAGACAAGGAAAATGCTCTGGGCATTGCTTCCATCGAAGGCGTGTCGGGTTTTTCTGGGTGTGAGGAATTTGAGGAAGATGGCTTTATCGAGTCCCAAACAACGGAGCTACTGAGGCTAGTTGCCACAGACTCACACTGAAGCAGAGGTGAGAGAAGAGGGCAGGACGAGGAAGAGGATCGAGGAAGAAGTGCTTTGTTTGCTTGAAAGTCGTGGTGCTATGGTTATTAGACATGGACGACGTCGTTTTCGGGCCATTACCATCTAGGGTGAATCGGATAGTTTTGTCTGGCAGCGAAGAGAAGATGAAGGACACGTCAGAGTCTGCCAAGCTGCCAAATTAAAAGCCACATGGTCGTCCCTTTCTTAATGGTTACAAGTTACAACTACAAATGAAGAAGGGCTTCATTTTCATTCTCTCTGGCCCAGAGACTTAGAGCCTCTATTGCATGCCACTTATTCTTGCACGACAAATTTCACGATTTTGGATTTCACTCCCTTGTTTTTACAGTATTGGTCACAAGACCTCATCCTAAATAAAAAAGTTGAAAAAGATTATGAAAAGATAAGGCATTAGATGAGAGCAGAGCCATGTGTATAAGCCTCTATTGGTCACTGATGCATAGTTTCATCCTACGACTTGATGAACAGAATTGATAGGGATTGGGAGGTCTCAAAATATGTAGGGATATATAAATGACGCTGTAAAATTGAGAATGCTTTATATCTCTCATTGGCTTATTATTTTAATTAATGCCATTTATTTAATTCGAAGAGTTCTTATATGTGATTCATTGGACTGTTCTAACTTCTAATAGACTACTCCCTCATTAACCTTTTGTAAGATTTTGCATGCTTCTCTGTGGGGACGCGTTAAAAAAAAATGACACATTCTTATAAAAGGCAAAATATATTAAAAGCCAAAATGTGTACCAAGAAACAATTACATCACATGTTGCAAATTACTAAACCAAGGTCATATACAAATGATATCAAAGAAGTTGTTTTCATGGGCAACTTAGAAATCCGGAGGGGATGAAACAAAATGAGGGAGCGCACGAGATCTTGAATGTAATTTTTCCTGAAGCAAGTGATCCTCAGTTAAATGCGCATATTATAAAGTCACCATAATGCAAATCCAAGACAAAGAAGGCGAATCAAGCAGGAGTCCTAACTCCTGAATATGTTTCCTGAAGGCATAGCCATTTGAAAATTGGTTGTCGGAGAAAATACCAATCTGACAGTGGACAGAACCATGCGATTTGAATTTTTTTCATCCTGATAGTCCAGTTGTTTGAGAAATCATTCGTGGGAACTGTTGACATAAAGAAACTAGCAAACCGGAGGAATTATCATCCCAGGAACATATATATTCCCAATAAAAAAAAATTGGTTATTGAAGGATCTAATGAAATTAGCAAGATGTCCTGATATTCAAACGAGCAAGCCAAAGAGATCTAGTGAAGTCACAGTAGACAAAGATATGATTTAAGCTTTTTTCAGTCAAATAGCCAAATGGATACAATGAATGGAGTGCTTGAAAGATGGTGTTCAATCAGAATATCAACAATTGGAATTGCTCTATGAAAGAGTTTCTATGTGAAGAGAATATATTTGAGAGGCAGGTTTAATTTCCACATGTTGCTCCAAACAACACAGTTTGCGAATAAGGAAGTTGGACTGTTAGTGGAAAACAATAATTTAAAACCGTGTTGCGTTGTGCATTTACCATGGTTAGGATCAATCTAGATGAATTCGTCTTCCTGAAGAGTAACAAGAAGATAAGTACTCAGAAAAAAAAAAACGCTAATTTTGAAGTTGAGATCTAAATTCTTTCTGATTTTACCTTCATGTGATATCTCGTAACATTCACTTTATCCTATTTCTTGGGTTTTCCACAGCCTGTTTCCCATGACGCAAAAGGGCAAAAGCTAAATTCTCCCTTTTGAGATAAAAATGCAAACAATAATAAAGGAGATTAAGGGCTGGTTTGTTTTTCAAAAACGGTTTTTTTTAAAGTAAAAATTTAAAAAAAATGTTTGGAGGTGTGTTTTGAATCTAATTATTTTTAAAACTACTCTCATTTTTTTGTTTCTCAAAAAAATCAAAATATATTAAATTTATTTTCATTTTATTAAAAGCTACAATTATTTTAACTAATAATTATCTGTTATAACTTATAAGCCACTTTTATTAACCATCAATAATCATTATTAGCGTCTGATTTTTTAATTTTAAAACTATTTTTAAATTCACACGAGTAAACATTTTTTTCATTTTAAAAAAGTCGTAAAAAATGTATCGTAAAAAATGTATTGTAAAACAATTTTAAAAATAAAAAATGAAAACATAAAACAAATAATTGAGTCAAAATTACCAGTTAAAATTAAAATATTAAATTTTAATTAGTCAAAATTACGCCCGTTGACCCAAGCTTTGGGTCTGCCACTCCACGTAGCCACAAAATACACGATGGGAGTTCTCGGTCTCTGCTGAAAATTATGGATTATGGATAAAAAGACAAGTATTGTTTTTTTTTGGGCCAAGATAAGGATTCATTTTTATTTATTTAAATTTACTATTTCTATTCGAAACAGCCCTCAGAGTCATTTCTTTAATATTTGTAGCGACACGTGTTTTCCAAGGAGAGATTGTCTTTCTCAATAAGCTCTCTCTCACTGCTTCTCACAGTACCAGAACCGCGAGCCACCAGACGCGAGCGCGGGCCTAACCAAGCCAACCCAAAACCATCCTCAAAGCCTCGAGGAGAGAAACTGAGGGAGAAAGATCGAAAGCATGTTTTCAGTTCTCAGCAGATTTTGCAAGAAGACCACCCCCACAAGCACCTTCTACCAAATCGCGACAAGGTTCATCGCCTCCTCGTCTTCCACCTCCTTCCACTACCACTCTTTCCCCAAATTTCTTTGCCCTTCTGAATCCGGAACTACGATCAGCTCCTCTATCTGGCTCCAGAAACGGTTCAAATGGGACGGTACCACCTCTGATGATCGCTATGACCACATCAGGGCCGATTTAAGCTGTCCTCGATGCTCCACCCTGATGTCCGTCGTTTTCTCGAACCGACCCCTATCGATTTCGGGTCGGGAACCCGGAGTCTACCAGGCCCTGAATCTCTGTCCCGGTTGCAGAACGGCTTTTTATTTTAGGCCTTTCAAGCTGGCTCCGTTACAGGGTAGCTTCATCGAGATTTGTAGGGTTAAAGAGTCTAAGGACTGTGATGGAAGTAGTGAGAAAGATTGTGAGGCTCCGCACTTGAACAAGAGTGAGGCGCCTACACTGTCTCACGGGAATGGTGGTAGTGGAGGTGGCTTTTGTGCCGGAAATGGCGATGATAACAGTGGCAGCTCAAGTTTAGTGAAGGACCTGGCTACACCGAAGGACATTTTTAAAGTACTCAACGAGTTTGTGGTTGGGCAAGAAAAAGCCAAAAAGGTTCGGACTTTGATTTCATGATTGTAGAAAAGCAGGATGCCAATGCGTGTACTCTGTCGAATTCCATCTGCATGTGGTGTAAATGATCTAAATAACGATATTATGAATTTATGATGATAGCAGTATAATACCTGAGGGCGACCATCGTTGAAGCCACTTCGAATAGAACATGCAAAGATAATTCACAAGAATGAACATGCTAGTATTATTTATATAAAAGAAGGCAACTAGATTACCTTGTTCTCGCGGGTTTTAATCAGATATCCCGGTAATTATCTATAGTTAGAGCTGCAGAGACGTTGTATTTTGAAATGTGCGTATATTCTCGCTCAATCTAAATTTTAATCAGTAGATGCACTACAGTGAGTTGAGAGGCGTGTTCTGTTTATTCGGTTTTAATGGGTCTTAAAACCATAACTCTCGTTCATCAGTATTATGTAACTTCAATTCTATTACTGCATCACCCCAAGATATCACGTGGCGGGTGAATTCATTAAACTTGTTTGGTTCATTTCAATCTTGTGTATTTGAGGTTCATTTCTTATAGGAAACATGCTTTGTGGGGCTATCTATATGATGCATGCTTTCGTTGCATCTACTGATGCCTGAATTATCCTCAAAGGTGCTTTCAGTGGCTGTTTACAACCACTACAATAGGTTGCGCCTTGCATCTTTGAAGAAAACCTCTGATCGAGAATTAGCAAAAATTGAAGATGAGAACGAAGATGATTATGTAGAGCCAGAAAAAAGCAACATATTGCTGATAGGTCCTACAGGGTCAGGTGTGAACTGTGAATACAATAGACTCTTTGGAACATAAGGAGAGTTCATGCGTTTTTTATTATTTTAGCGATACTTTTTGCTTCAAGAGATGATGATATTAATACTGAATTTGGACTTCCTCACGACAGGGAAAACGCTGCTGGCAAAAACACTGGCCCGTATTGTAAATGTTCCATTTGCCATAGCTGATGCTACAACATTGACCCAGGCAAGTTAGTTGAATAATACTTTTCCTAGTTCTATATGTCTTTGCATATTTTATCATGTGAATAGCTTATTCTGTTCGTTTTTTCCGCTGGGCACCTAGGCTGAGTTTCACTGATATGTATAATTTTCTCCGTCCCTCCCTCCCCTCTAACTTGGGCTTTCGCACATATCAGGCAGGTTATGTTGGAGAAGATGTGGAATCAGTATTATATAAGCTTCTTGTGGTATGTACTTCGACTTCTTACCTGGGTGCTACATATTTTATTGCTAAATGTGCATCCATAACTTAAAAGTAATTATAGTCTGAGAGCTGGTCGTGGCTTAAGATGGTACCATTCGGTCCCTCACTTTCCTATCATTTTCAAAATTATCATTTATGAGCCTTGTGTGTCTTTTAGGAATCCTAACTTATTATCATCAGCAGACTGTTTCAGTATTCCGTGACACTACTTAATGGATGATATGATCTTTCAGGAAGCTGATTTTAACGTGGAAGCAGCTCAGCAAGGGATTGTCTACATTGATGAAGTTGATAAGATTACAAAGAAGGTGTAACATTTTGTCAAATTATCGATTCTATATCACTAAAGATGTATAAGATATTGATTTCAATGAAATACTTTTGCAGGCAGAGAGTTTAAACAGTGGCAGAGATGTATCTGGAGAGGGTGTTCAGCAGGCTTTACTAAAAATGCTGGAAAGCACTGTGGGTGAATTTATTCATTATTTTTCTTCCCCTGTAAAACTTCAATTGCAAATGGGGCATGTGGCATTCTGATTGTCTGTTTACCCTAATTATTTCCTTAAAATATTCGATGGTACCATTTCTTGGTTATAACAATGCTCTTAGAGAAGTCCGGGAGACATTGGAAGTCTGCTAAACTTTCTGCTGAATTTATCTACTTCCATTCTACTTAATGGACTCCTGCTAAAGCTGTTTTTCAAGCATAAGGACCCAAATCCCCTATCTGTGTGTGTGTGTGTGTGTTTGGGGGGGGGGGGCTATCCAAGGCTACTGCGTACATGGTAAAATGATTATCTTCTGCTGGGGAAATTGCCTCTATGAATGAGGAAAGTTGACAGTGCTGAAATAGGAATTTTATGAAATGCAAACTCTCAGGTTGAGCTTAGACTTTTAGTAAGCTGCAGGAACTGTTTAGTGATTGGAATTGGATGAAGTCATTGCTCACATCGACAGCAGTATTTATCACATCAGCATCGTAAAGTTTTAGGGAAGCTTGAGTTTCTCCTGCCACAAACCATTATGTTTGTCCTTGATAAATTATTTTAGCTTTGCATTCATACAGCTTGAAAGTAATTAAATTCAGAAGTTTATTTTCAAGGTTCCTTGCTATTTATGGTTCATGTATGTTGATATATTAACGGTGCTCTCCCCCCCCCCCCTTCAGGTTGTAAGTCTTCCGGATAAAGGAGCTCGCAAGTATCTTTCTGGTGAAAACTTTCTGGTATACTTGAACAAAAACAGTCTTTTCTTGTCTTGGCTTTCTGTGATTAACCTTCTAAATCCTCTTGTGAAATGAGTGTAATTCTTGGTCAGATCTTTGAGATTACAGGGAAAGTCCTTCAGTTTCTATATCAAAAATTGAATACATTCTCCTAAGAGAAGATAATACAGTTGGTTTAAATGCATAATATGAGTTTATTGTTTTTGGTATTCCTTATGAATATAATTGCTGTCAGCATATCTTGACTTGTGATTTATCTTGTGGTGAAAGTGAGAGAATTTTGAATAAAGCTGATATTCCTTCTCATGAATTAATGAAAGTTGAATCTTGTTCTTCTAATTTTAGGATACACCATAAATCAAAATGCTTCTACTCTGCCTTTTAGTTGGGTAAATTTTGAAGCTAAGATCAACCTGTGCTTCAAGTCGATGAGAATTCTTACAAAAATCACTACAGGCTGTTTTTTTAGTTAGAACTCTTTTATTTTTTACCTTTTCCCCTGTCACCAGATATTTTCATATGTGCTTAGTTTTAAACTCTTAGTAGGATTCTATAATTCAAAGAACTGATGGGATTTTGCAGACTGGGAGTTTCACATCTTGGATTGTCTATCTCATTACGATTCATAATGCTTGACAGATAGATACAAAAGATATTCTTTTTATATGTGGAGGGGCCTTCGTTAATTTGGAGAAGACCATAGCAGAAAGGTGAGGATGTCTTCAAGTTCTGCATTCATGCTTCTCCATGAGTCAGGGATTTGACTGACCCAGATTTCTTTTACAGGAAGCAAGATTCTTCCATAGGCTTTGGAGCTCCAGTTCGTGCAAATATGAGGACTGGGGGATTGAACGATGCTGTAGTAACATCGTCACTGCTAGAAAATGTGAGAGCTAAATGCTCAAGATGACTTCTGTATTTACTTATTTTACTTATTTCTTTCAATGAAGGGGATTGTTCTTCACCATTTGTCTGGTTGGATCTGTGAATTTATTTTTCTTTGACTAGTAACTCCCTCAGATAGCTAATGTAGTGATTCTGAGAATTTGTAGGTAGAAAGTGGTGATCTCATTGCATATGGCCTCATACCTGAATTTGTGGGGCGTTTTCCAATTTTAGTGGGTTTGTCTGCTTTGAATGAGGACCAACTTGCACAGGTACATCATAGATTTTACTTGTATATTTCTCTCCAAATTCTGCCTCGTATTCTGCGCTGATTGATAAGACCTGGCATGTTTATATACTACATTGGGTTGTAGATGGTTTGGGCTTTCATTTGCTTTTAACTTCTCAAAATCCAGCCAGTCAAATATTTTGGGGTGTGAATCTCTGCTACTTTATAGTTAAATTATGGTGGAAATATGTGGTTTCAGAACATCTACTTGTCTGTTAAACAACACGTGACTTCTTTTTCTCTTCTTTTCTTTTTCTTTATTTCTTTCCTTTTTTAAGTTATTCGCTTTAGATTATCAGTTCTTTTTACTTCACTATTTCAGGTCCTTGTTGAACCTAAAAATGCCCTCATTAAACAATATAAGAAGATGTTTGGGATGAACAATGTAAGCCTTTTAAAGCATTCCAATTTTTCTCAGAAGTTCTTTTCTGTCTCTTACCTTGCTGATGCATTCAGTATTGTCAATCAGCATGATAGCCTCTTTGGAGTAACTTGCTTAATTTCTGGTTTAACATTTCAGGTAAATTTACACTTCACTGATAATGCTTTGAGATTGATTGCAAGAAAAGCCATGGCAAAGAACACCGGAGCCCGTGGTTTAAGAGCTATACTAGAGAATATTCTGACTGAAGCAATGTTTGAGGTACATTTGGATATATGGAACAATACTTCTCTGTCTTCCATATCCATATTCCTTAAACCTTCCAATCCAGTTAAAAAAGAAAGGGAACATTCTATGATGATTTTTTTTATACTTTGATTATCAATTGGGACATATTTGTTGCCCAGATTGTTGCAGGATGGAAAGAGAAAGGAAATGATGGTGAAATGGGAAATGATTTCATATCCTTGCTGCAAAAAAAAAGTAATAAAAAGGGGACATACACTGTTGAGTAATAATAACATTGCATAAATTTCCCCGTAATACCATTTCCGATTACTTTCCATTTTTCGAACCAAATGTAGCTTTTGAAGACTTTTCGTATTGCTTTAGCACCCTGGTGTATATTTTGTAAAATTTATACTAAACAATTTTCTATGATTAAATATTCCGTGGGATTTAACAAATGATGCTCCTGGGTGCTAAAGCACTATAAAAAATTATGGAATATTAAATTGTTAACACCATCATCTTTCAAGGACGAAATTAAGTGTTTGTATTCTTAGAACTGTGGTCAAGCATGCCCTTGGACCTTGTTTGACAGTCAATCTTCCCATTCTGCTGGATTTGAAGGGGTATTTAGTCTCTTACATGAGATCAGAGCATTGGGGATTTTATGTCTGTTGTTTTTCAAGTAAAAAATTGAGTAGGAATGTGACTCCTAAGTTTTGTGTTACTTTATCCACAGATTCCAAACAAGGATGATATTAATAACATAAAAGAGGTCCTAGTTGATGAAGAGGCTGTAGGTTCAGTGAATGGTCCTGGATGTGGAGCTAAAATCCTGTTCAGAGATGATGGTGGTTCTTTGGGGGGTCAAGCGAGAGCCATATGTTTGTAGCTAGGGAAGATCTTAGCCTGTGTATAGTCCTCTTTTTTCTGTTTTCCCAATTCTTTCTTCATTCTATGTTTATATTCTCATCTGTTATCATTCTTTTCTTCCTCTTTTTATTATGCATGGTTCACGAGAGATTTTAAGCTTAAACTTTCGTGATTTCTTGTATATATTAAAAGCAACTAGTGCGTAATTAACTGTTGGCTGGTGCTTGAGCACATGCTACTTCCGATGATTCTCTATCCTCTTTTGGGGGTGGCTTTTTCATTTCATTTGAAAGCGAAAAAACCATGTCTCGGTTAAATTCTCAGAGAACCCCAGTCAACATAAACTTTGAGCCAAACACTGCCTTAAAGGACGTCTAATTTACAAGGAGATATAATACGACGATTTACTGTGAATGAGAATTGAATGGAGAGCGCTTGCACGTGCGGGTAATTTTGTAGTTTTATCAATTGAAGTTGTAGTAAAATTATCTTCAGTCAATAATATTATTCTAATAAGAAAATTTTAATTATTTAATTCTCGTGAGTTTTATTCAAAATTTTATCTCAACATCCTTTTAATTCACTAACCTTTACCTTTGTGAAAATATATCCAGTTCTATACGGATTGAATTGTGATCGAATCTTAGAACATAGTAAATAACCTAAAACTAAGAATTGATTGGATTGTATTCAAGCCAAAATCATATGGGCTAAGTGATCCCATGTTTGTTGGCCATGGGGAGCCAGGTGAATTACAAGGGCAACGAGGGATTTGAGAAGCAATTCATAGTCCTTTTATCTCATTACTTTCAGTACAATGGCTCTATTCTATCTCCTTTCATTCTTCATGTTAACTAAATTAGTGTACGGAGTCGGTTTTTCCTCACTATTGTGTCAACATTTGAAGAACAAGTCTACCTTCCTGGTCTTCTTCCCTAACTCTGATTTTAGACGTTATGCTTCTTGAATAAACTAAGGACAAGCTAGGGCGCTTCAAAATTGCGAGGATCGGGGAAAACTCAGGGTCCTTCAGTACTTCATGCCTTGTCGTCTCACACCAGAGAGTGAACATCAAGGCAGAAATCAATAAAATCATAGTAAATATTTTTAAAATAAAAAAAAAAAACTATATTAGGGGTAATGCACAACAGTTTCAAAGCATTTCACTTTGTCATGGCACATGCATAAATGAGGCTCTACCATGGTACATACAATCGCAGGCTAGTGGCTGCTGCATAATCTCTCTAATCATCAGCCTCAATCGTCCCACCCTTGAGATGAAATGTTTCTCCCTCTTCTGGAAGTCCGTCAAACCTTTCCCACTTCCAGTCACACCAACCTTGCCTTGTGGATCATCTGGAGACTTGAAAATGCTCTCCCGCTTTCTTCCAGAGAAGAACCCGATCTTTTAAAACAAACGAGTTTTATTGCTATAGTCAGAAAATTGAGGAGTTCTTTGCGCACATAGGAAAAAACAAAGCTGTTTAGACAATCAAAAGGAAAAAAAAATACAGAGATTGTGAAAACAGGCTTAATAGTGGCCTAACCAGGGAGCAACATGCTAACACACGAGGATAAAACTACAAAGAAAATAGATCAACCTAGAAATGGACATCCATCATCTTGTGTCTTTTCCTTGACTATAAAAATCTTTCCAGGGTTAGGTTTCTTCCCCAGTTCCTTCTCATTTCCACCCAACCAACTTCAGTAAATGGTTTTCCCTTCACCTTTCTTGCACATTTTTAAAACGACCCAACATATCCACGATTTTGGGTAACAAGGGGCGTATCCACTTTAATATGTGCATGATAAATTCAATAAACCATTCGCTTTATGGTCAACTTTATATCACTCATTTTTTTCTGAGTTCTTAGGCTTCAAGGACTTGTATGAAGTGATGGAGGTCTATTCCCATGGTTACACATGTGCATTAAGCACCAAAACTAAAGAAAATCAATGATGTGCATAGGCACCGAGAGAAGTAAAAATAAATAACACAGGAAATAGGTACCTTCTTTGTTTTGCCCTTGGTTGACTGAAACTGCTGCCAAGCATTCTGTCGCTTATTTTGTGTGACTTCAAGTTGCTCTAGCCGCATCTTTGACTTAAACGCATGTATCTTCTTACGTTTGGCAGCTTTCTGTAATAATTTTGAGTTACCAACTAAATCATTAATGGCAAACTATGCCTACCTGACTTGCACAAATTGTGTAGGTAAAAACTTATTCCAGAATGCCACCACAAATTATCTTGTGGCAGATTATCTTGCAAAGGAAGCTCACAACGTGTCTGATTGTTTTGTTTTATTGAACACACCTCTGTAGGGTTGTCTTAGCTTCTATCATGCAGATGGAAGTGTTAAATCTATGCTGCTTGTTTTTTCTTAGGTTTTTCCAAGCTTAGGCTTGTCTTGTAATTTAAAAAAAAAAAAAAGAATGCCAACACAAATTGCATAGATAAAAAATTGCTTTTAGGAAGGAATAAATATTTAATTACAAACAACTTAGCAAAGAAATTAGAAAAACAAAAACTTGGCAGGAGACTCACCACATCCTCAGGATCGTCAGGCTCGATACGTAGCTTTGCAGGTAAAGTCCGTGATTGTAAGTCAACAGAAGCAGCTTGTGCAATCTTACGTTTGATAGCCTGCTTTGTAGCCTCTGCAACTCGCTCAGCTTCTAACAAAGCATCGACAGGACCTTCTTGAATTGGCCTTATATTGGCAGGATCCACCTGGGAAAAGCAACTATTATCAACATATGATGTTACCCTAGAGGCATATTACATAAAAAGCAAAAGGCTTTTAATTTGTTTGAAAGTTCACCAAAATATTGCTCAAGACAGATTGATAAGTTAGTGCCTTAGTTCAGGCCTATGACATCAACGCAGTTCAACATTGATAAACATATGAACTTGAACAATTCTCCCCTTGCAATTATAATAAATAATTTCCATGATTTACTTTCTAGGGTAATAATGTTATATAACAACCACAATGTATTGAATATTCGTCAATGATTAAGAACAGTTAAATATGCAGGATGAAGTATGGTGCTAATTTTCTCCAGGAACAAAGTCAAGTCAAAATGACATCTTGGAGTGTCAACGTAGTTACTGCAGTTAAAAGTGGTCTATTATTAAGTGCAGCAAAAATCAAAATGTTCCTAAACGAAAATCCCTTTTTAAGAAGCCCTTCCAGACAATCAAACTGCAACGGCTGTCATGCAAAGGAAACCAAGGGGGAAAAACTTTTATTTCACTGCCTTATAATAAAAGACAACTGCGTTCTGAGTTAATTAAACACAAAAAGGTATCTTTGTTATTGATGCTCTTAGTCATTGAATACACCAAACGAGAGGCCTATCATTAATATTGGAGTTTGTTTAATGCTCAAGAAAAAATGAGTTTCACTAAAAAGTACTGAAACCTTTTAACATAACGAAAATTTCTACCAAATACATTCAACAATGATTTCATCATTCAAATAAAATAATCAGACTGCGATAGTTTCTATCAATATGACCTCATCCATTTTAGCAAGTGCCCGTAGTTTCATGATATGCAATATAAATCATGCTTAAAATAATTATTTTTGGATATTTTCATTAGTGAAACATTCAGCAGTGAGTTTTCTAAGCTAAATGTCAGTGGTTATAAAATACGCCCTGGGCCTGTAGAAACACTATTCATTGAGAAGTTCTAGCACTCATACCTCTTCTCTATTACCCCATCCATCATAGGAAACATAATAACCGTTCGGTGTATGAGCATCAACTGTTGCATCATACCTGCACATTAAATATTCAAAAACTCAAAAACGGTAAACATAAGTGAAGTGAAAAAAAAAAAAATTAAAATGCACAAAACCATAAATTTCTCAATATACCATTCCCCATCTTCACTCCAAACTGCCTGAACTTTAGTGCCAACAGAAATTGATGATCAGAAATGCTTTCAGATTCCTAGAAGTGAAATAATAAAAAATGCTATTAATTGTTAATAATCACTAGAAAAAAGTACCCTGGGTATACAACAAAATCATCTAAGATGACTTGAATAATTTCGTCCATAGCATCTGCCACATTGTAATATCAGCTATTATTAGAATTTACTAATTTAGTGAATTCTTATTAGGCAATTCTTCGGTGGCTAGAAGCAGTGCAGGAAAATCACCACACAAGAAAACATGTCAGGTATCTTGTATAGGGAAGGAGATATTACTCATGAAAGTGCACAGCAAATACAAATTAGCCGAACACATTATGTGCCCATTAATAGAGACACCGATGTTAAATCAGAAGAATGAGCAAATACCACTTTCTCCTTAGGCATTGACAAACTTGCAGATGCACTAGCATTCAACCCAGATGCTTCATTTTGCTTTGCAGTTGCCAGGAGTTCTTCCGTCAAAGCAATCACCTGTGTGACACAATTTTAGGCCACATTCCACAACTCAGTTAAGCAAATATTTTCAGAATCTTCTACACCATAAACAAATTAATGTCAAAATTCTAACTTATAATCTCAGTGTGAACATCTCATATCAGGAGAGAGGGAGAAAGCAGGCTGGACATCACGACATAGAGCACACCTGCAAAGAACCAAGATAAAAGTGATGGGCATTTTGACAAGGTTATCATTTTTTTTGTTACATAGATCTAACACTTGGTTATTTTCTTTTCTTTCCTTTTTTGTTTTTCTCATGCTCCCCGGGCCTGCAATTTGCATTATGTTACAAACTGGTCTTCCTACTGAAACACAATACTCACCTTTTTCTAACAGCCAATAGTCTTTCAGTAATGAAGAAAAAGGGAAGAGAAAGAAAGGAAGGAACACATGGAAGACCTAGCACCCATACATTGGTCCTCTCTTTGGTGTTTTTACACGTCAGATTCTAACCACTGTATATACAGACGAAGGGGAAAGAGAGCGGATACAAACAAGAAATATGGTGACAGTCAAGGAAGTATATACTGCAAAAGAAATTATATATACATATACACAATATGTGTGTGTATACATACGCACATGCATATACCTCACTAAGCTCCTTTTCCATATCAGCATATTCAGAATTTCCAGGCTCATCGTTCAGAAGTTGTCTGACCTGATCCAGAGACGAAGGAAAAAGTTATTATAGAAGCTATTTTTCACATCATTACATCATGCAATAACTGAGGAGGAGGATAAATGGTAATAAGATTTAGAGTGTAAGATCACTTTTTCCTGGACAGATGATAGAAAATAGTATTTATTACGTGGCTGCTAATATGGCTCAAGAACACATGATGCAAGCATGGAGATAAAATTCTATCTTATTTGCCAGATAAATTAATCGTATGATAACAACAATGCTCTTTCGTATCAAAGAAAAATAAACATTAACGTTCAACAAAGCCAGGTATAAAACACTTATTTGGATGCCCAGCAAGAACCAGAATCGAAGTCAAGTTAATTGGAATAATAGAATAAAAACCCTAATTGGTCGAGTAATAGCCTACAATCTTAAATCGAATGCAAAAAAACCGTTAGAATACATAACGATTAGGTTCAAACTAACAACAGAGATATTTTCCCTCGAGCAGTATAATTAATAACTCAGAGTAGCTAATATCAATGTGAACCGAACAAAATTCGTGTAAAAAAAAAAAAAACATGATGAACAGACTAAACCTGGTGAAGCTGTTCTTTGTAGGTAGAGAGATTGGAGGCTAGCTCCTCTATGCTGAGCTCTTCGCCGCCTTGCATCGTCTCAGTGCTAAATTTTTCTTTCTTCCACGGAATTCGAACTGGAATGAGGTTAGTGGAAATTCCGTGACCCTGGAAGAACAAAGATACATGGCAATGTCGAGATCGAAAGCCGAAATCGAAACCCTCCTGTTTGGGCCTGAACAAGAACATGGGCCAATCTTGATGGGCCTTATTATTCTGCTATTTTTCGCTCATGGGCTTATTATTCATTTCATAGCCCATTTACTTTTCCCGAGAGTTTTGTCGGGACAAAATATATCTGTTGTGGAATGGAAAAGAATTTACCATAAAATAAAGAAATAAATGAGATTGTAAATAAAAAGTAACGAAAATAAGTGAATTAAACAGTACATTAAACGGTTGTAACCATTTAAATTCTCCTTAAATGTGAAACTTAAAAATTTTCATTAAATTTAAATGCTAAGAAAGTAGTTTTACATAATAAAAAGATGTAAGAGTTTTATACAATTTAATCTAAAAAATATTTTCATTTTTTTAATTTACCAACCAGTTCTATTCATTTGAATTTAAACAAATCAAACCACATGGATGTAAAATTCTTTAAATGACAAATTTATTTATTCACTGATTAAAGTTTATGCAAATAACAAAATTTTTGTCACTTAAATAAGTGGTTGCAACCCTTATATATGTAGTAATTCAATTATTTTTAGTTACAGTACCTTGAAAAAATAATCTCTGTTGTTGATGGAATTTACTTATTGTGCTTGCAATATATATATATATATATATATATATTCACAAAGCTTTAAAGGTAACAAATGTCAACCCATATGAATAACGGTCATCGGCATATTTGTAGAATTCAACTATAAAAAATAGTGGTGGCTATGATCATCTAAAAGACCAAATGAAGGTGGCTCAATGCTATGGCAAGTTGTTGTTTTGGCAGGGAAGGAGTATGTGTTAATCTTTTAGGCAACATGGTGATGAACAATTCAAAATTGAAAGGATTTTTTGTGGGAACACCAAAACATGTTGGAGACATGTCTCTTGTCTCCTTACACAAAAGCTGCATCATTATTTTCAAATAGAACAAAAGGCAGAACAAAAAGCAACTTTGATCATCTCACAACTTAATTCAATTCTCATCTCTCCTCCTCCTTCTTTCTTTAATTTATTAGGCTGGATTTGGCATAATTAACTTCAAGAAAATTACTTTTTTAAAATAATACCAGACGATTAAGGTGTGTATATAATAAGACTATATTATCATTACTTAATTGTACTTGTTTATTTTTACTTTTTTTATGTAAAGGCATGAAATTGTTCGGAGTCTACGGAATTATTTTTCTATTCTATTCAATCCCATATCAAAGGGCCATTCTTATTCCATATCTCTAAACCATGCAATTTCTCGTATTATATTCCCCGTAAGCACACTGATCATTATGTTTCTCATCTACATGTTCTAGCATCATGACATCATGCTAATTATTGGACCCAAATTCGAAAGATAATTCATATGATTACATTTTAGTGAAGTCAAAATATATCAATGATAATTATACAGTGCTAATCTGGGAGAATGGGGGTTTTATTTTTTGGTTGTATTATTCTCTCTCTTCATTACATAAATCCATTTTCTGATATAGTGATGTTTAATGTATTTCTATCATCACTATTTATTTATCTGATTTTATTATTTTTAGTAAGAGCACAACTACAAGGTAACTTTCATCCACATACATCTGTTTTTTTTCAATTATTAACGTGTACGAAACATCTATTGTGAATAAAGTGTAATAAAAGAGCAAGAGTTTTTTTTTTTAAAGCAAGAGTTTTTTTTTTTTTTTTAAAAAAGAGCTTTATACCTTTCGTTACATGACATTCATATTTATTTTAAATTTTACACACACGAAACATAATAAGCTTTTTTGCCATTAAATTTTCTAGATTAATGTGAAGGATAGAGGAAGCAACTGGCAAAATAAAAAAGGACTTTATTGTTGAAGAAAAAAGAAGACTTTGTTTTTAGCCTACAATAACAAGAACCTTAATTGATTGATATATATATATATATATATATATTTATTATACATAGAGACTTACCATTCTTTACAGAAACTATATCAGATATAAAGGCCATCGTAACTGCCTATGCTTTGATCTACTTGTACAATTAATAATATAAAGATCCAAGATAATGTTCATAAATTAATGCGCTAAGGAATGTTTTCATCTCCAAAGTTCTTGGAGCTATGGTCCTTCCCTTTGGCATCATGATCACCAGAATTCTCTATACTTGAGAGAGAAGGATTATAATTAAACCATTTGCACCAAAACAGATAGTTGAGGAAATTAAGGAAGCTGAGAACAGCAAGCAGCCAATAGAACGAGTCAAGCCTGTCCTTGTTAAGGTTGTTATCTCGGAGCCAACCGCCATTGGAGGTGACCTTGTTCACCAGAGAGACCAACACAGAGCTCAAATAAAACCCAAATGAATAAGAACAGTAAGTGATTGCTGTCAAGAATGCTTGCATCCCTTTAAGTGATTGCTTGTAGAAGAACTCAATCAACCCTACCGCTGTGAACATTTCTGATATTCCAAAAATCAAGAACTGTGGGGTGATCCAAAAAATGGACAAGGTCTTGTTTTCAGTTAGGGCTGAATCTCTTCTTTTCTTCTCCATTAGGGCAGCTGAGACCATGGAGAATGTGGCCAAGAAGAGGCCTAATCCGATGCGTTGAAGGGGCGAGAGGCCGGATTCGTGGCGGGTGAATCGCCGGGCGAAGGGGACGAAGAAGGAGTCGTAGAGAGGGACGAGGATGACAAGGATGATGTAGGGGATAGACTGGAGGGAAGCAGGAGGGATGTGGAAGGAAGGAGTAAGGTGGGTGTCCATGGAACTGCCTTGTTGGACTGAGAAAGTTTGAAGCTGAGCAAGGATGGTGTTGAAGATAATGGTGCAAGCAAATATGGGAAGAACTGAAAGTAGGGTTTTTACTTGCTGCACTTGTTCAATTGTGCATAATCTCCAAGGGCTCTCCTTTGTGTTATTGTCACTCCCATCTTGGACCTTGATACAGGCCTTGTCAAGGAATCTGAAAAATCAGTAAGAGAATATCAATTCACTGTACAAAATAGTACTCTTACTTAGTATAGATACACATTATTCAGGTAATCTTTTTACTGTATTATCTCAAATTGTATTTTAGAGTTAAGAGCTTTTGGCAGTCATGTATTTGAAGGGTTCACTACTACAAAAATGGAATTTTAACAAGAAATGCTACCAAAGCTTCTTTTTTTTTTTTGGTGATAGTGATTCTCATAAAATTAAGCTAAAGAAAATCCATCACGTACAAGCATATCCTGTCAAGGTTACAATATATTAACCAAGTTGTCCATAGTACAGTGTGTGTGCGTGTGAGAGAGAGAGAGAGAGAGAGAGAGAGAGTTAAAACAAGAAGTTGATGAGAAATAAAAAGTGAAAAGTAGAACGTACCTGAACTTATTGGTATGAAGGGAAGCAGAGGAGGAGGAATTATGAGTGGATAGGCCATGGCCTCCATGAAGCATTTGTGGGTTAGAAGGACAGATCTGCTTTCTCTTCAGAATTGCAGCCACAAAGACCTGATCCATAAGACCGATACACATTGATGAAGGCAACAAAATAAAACTTGATCGATAATATTGTTGACATTATTGTTATTATTATAAAGAGCCTCTAGGTATATATATAGGAGTCAACAACATCATGCTTAATTAAAGACATTATGAGGTTGACGCTTTCCTAGTACATGAATGATCAGCAGACAGGCTCCACTACTACTTTTACTTGGGACGACAACTCACGTGTTTTAGTTTTCAAATCCACTCTTCAACAAACTGTACATGTGTAGGCTCGTAGAATCTAATCTATAATGCCATAAAGATGTGGTCAGAATTGAAAAATTGCGATCTTTTGATTCCTTTATCTTTAAGGACCCACAAGAAAACACTGTATGGCCCTCTATCTGTTCAGACCTCTCAGAATGTAGCTTGCCTCACTTCGTCAACTCTTCAAGGCTGTGTTTGGTATCAATATAAAATGAGATGCGACACAAATTTTACAAAATATTTATTAAATTTGTATTATTATTATTATTATTATTATTATTATTATTTAATACTATTTTTGTTCATTTTTTCTCACAAAAACATAAAGTTGACTTTCTAATAAATTTTTTATATGAAATAATTTGCGTACTAACTGACGCCCCATCGGGTCAAACCGTGACAACACATATTTGTTTTGACAACTTCGATATTTTTATTCAAAATATCTAGTCTCTTTTAGAACGTTAACAAATTATGGTGATATTATTTCAGATAGCATCTCTTAAACTACTTAAAGGGATCGTCCATAACTTTATTGTTTTTAACTCATTAACCTTAACAAAATTTAAAAAGAGAGAATAATATATGCATGTAAAAGATTTGCATTTTTAAGTCTCTCTCTTTCTCTCTCTGTTTTTTTTAATCTCTCCAAACTTATTCATGGCGTAGAACAACTCGAAGAACATTGTGTCTGTGAGAGACATATACTTAAGAATGATGACATGATATTTTAGAGATACAAACTAAAATGAACATCTGTTAAGAAGAAAAGAAATATATAGTGAAAGAGATAAAGAAACATACTTGAGCAATGGGAGTGAAGATGCTGCCTTGAGGAGGCTTGTTTCTGTAATAAAGAGTACCAGAGATCAAGCAAATCAAACCCATGGCCATGGCGGCAGCAGAGACTCCGAACCCGACATCCATACCCGAGTGGGTTTGGACCCAAACAAGGACAGTTAGGGCAACAAGTTCACCCATGGAGAAAGCAAAATATGCGAAGTTGAAGTACGTAGAGAGCTTCTTTAGTTGCTGAGGGTTCTCTTGATTGAACTGGTCACCTCCATGGGCTATCATGTTAGGCTTCACACAACCACTCCCTAATGCCACTAAGTATATTGCTAAGAAGAAAATAAAAGCCTTGAAGCCTTTGGCTTCTACGCACTCTTGTCCTTCTTCTAGCATATTGCATGAAGGTGGCTTCAGTTGTGGAAGATGAGCTTGCACTGACAGTAGTATGA